CCTTTTTTTTTTTTCTCCCCTCTTTTAGCCAGGGTAGATATTGGTTAGGGAAAAGTAAAAGAAAAATACATCCCTGGCAGGAATCCTCAGTGGGGTTTGAACTTCAAACCTTCTCCAGCAAGGCACTTGAAAAATTTGTTACCTAATGATCAAGTCCTGGGTTCCAGGAAAATTCCAAAAGATCCATTAAGGCTTTTAAACCCTATGTTCATGTCATGCAACTTTTTTTTTTCTTTTTTTTGCAGCTTTTTAAACCTTTTCTTGAGGGAAGGAATAACTTACAGTCCTTTCTTCTCTAGCCTTTGGTTTTACTGCAGTTCTCAGGAATAAAGTGGAATGTAGCATTAGGGTCTAGTGTCTTTGATGGCCTCATCATCTAATCATAGGTTTAACATTACTCATTTGCTGGCTCCAGGAATTCCTGCCATTAAGGGCCCTAGAGATGAAACTTTGCCTCAAATATTGATTGGAAGGAAGAGAGAGAAATTTAAGCTCTTTCTGCAATGCTTTTTCTTTAGACATCCCAGTAAAGCTGTATAACAAATGCAGCTAAATCAATGTTATTTCTATGGCTATTATACATGTTATTTATTATTTCAAAATATTTGACTATTTTAAAAACAAACTTCATTTTATACCTGAAATAATGCAAAGAGCCTAACCATTTTCAAATTTTGAACATTTATTCATTTTCTTCAATGTTTGCTTGGGAGAACTATTTTCCATCTACACAATTACTTGGGGAAATGGCAAGCTTTTAGTTTTTATACCGCATCTGATACTTCAGGGTTGTTTCCTTATCTTCTAAATAAGGAAGATTTTGTGTCCTGATGTCCATTTATTACTAAGTACTTCAGAAGCTAATGCTGTAATGTTTGTTGGTGGAGTGATGTTAAATGTTTCTACAGGAATTGGTCAACAGGGGGCTGTAGTGGTGCAAATTGCATTCTCCTCCCCTCACCTTCCTAACTCCAAAAGTATTGCTTCTGTAAATTGCATCTGCACAGAATACCATATTTAATCCTGTAGGTGTACTAAACAATCAGGCCTGTAGTTCATCTGCAGGAAAAAAAATAGGGGTTTTTTTCTATTTACATTTTAAAACTATTTGTCAAAAGAAAACACAAGATAAATGCTATAATAATACTAATACATAAATTGGCTTGAAGAGAATGGCAGACAGGCAAATATCATAATCCAGCCTATAGCTAACAGAACTTGGAATTAGGATCTTAGGAGATGTTGTCCGCAGCAAATGAGATTAACTCATCTCTAAAAACAAAACAGATAGTGCTACCTGAGCTTTTCCATATAATAAATTGAGTAATATGGGCTAGAAAGACTATATAAAGTACTGTGGTTTTTAATAATCCTAATGTAACTAGGGCTTCTCTTCCTAATATGGGTAAATCCTTCATATTCAGATTGAATGGCATTTTACAGATTATGTGGGGAAGTTTGAAATGTGTCACTCAAAAGACAGATGACGATATTAAAAAGCTTTGAAAAGTACAATTTTGTTTGCACAGAACAGAGTAACTTTAGACATTGAAAAGGAAAGGGAAATGCAAAGTTTGTTTTCCTTCCATTTGCTACAGCAAATTAGATGCTTTTATGCTCTTTATGTTGGAAATTCCATGTTAACGACTACAGATTAGCAAGGATGTCAGAATTTTTTTTCTTATCTGAGCTCCTGAATAAAATCAACATTGCCAGCGGCTCACGTCCAAGGTATGGTCTAAATTTACATGAAATATCACATTACAAATGTCTGAAGGTACATGTCATGGATAATTCAGTTCATATGGGCAGCCTTTTAGACTCTGAGGGATATGCAATCAAGCCTTTCCCCCAAAGGAATTTGGAGTTTCTGTGAAAAATACATTTTAAGTTTTAAAGGAACTCCTGTAGGGGTAGTGCATCATTTGTGGGTTTGGGGAAGAACAAAAAGTTCTACTCTTTGTATTTTCAGAATCTCTCTTGTACTGTAACTTGCTTCCCTGCACCCATTTTATTTTTTCCTAGTATCACCTACGTCACTAGTTATAATTTAGGTTAATTTGAAGGCTTTATTTTCTTTATTTCTTATATAAACCAAAAGCATACATCCAAGTACTTGAAATATATTTTTTCTAGATAATTTATAGTAAACATATAATGATTTTCACTTTTCATAAAACAGGCATTTTCATTTGGATTTAGTCTATTTTAACATAAAACGGATGAAGATGCATTATGTTTGACAAGATCTGTGCTTGATTAGCTGGTCTTTGTTCCCTCAGCCTAGTTGAGCATGTCAAAGCTGTGTTGCTGTTGGAGTGGCAGATTTCATAAATAAACAAAACAATTTTTTAAAAAAATACATTTATTTTTGCAGTGTATTTCTTTCTTACATCAGATTTAGATTTCAATTACTTTTTTCTTATTCTTTCTTTTTTTTTTTTCCCTAGCCAAAACACTACAATAGTTTCTAATTACTTCCAGATCTTTTGCAAATTTTTCTCTTTGGGGATACAGCTTCTGCAGAAACTGAATGATGTTATCCCAAAGGAGTTTTATCTCATGCCACTTGCATTTTTATGTATCTTATCTATTAGCAGGGGAAATTTATTTTCTTAAACAGAAAATACTGTCTTAGTATTTAAGACATCTTGCTACTTGACCTGTTAAAAAATATAATTATTATAATGGATAAATGGTTACTTCAGGGAAAAAATGCTATGTCATTTGTGATTGTAGAATACATCTAGAATATCTGACAAATTTCAGGATTTTCAATAGTTTTCAATACATCATTCATTCTGTTGATTTCCCCTCCCCACATGTTGAAAGTTTGATAAAGATTGTAATTCAGGAGCCTCCAAAGGAAATACTAAAACTAGAATGAAAATAGTCCACTTCTGAATCCTTATCTTGAGGAAAAAGATTTCTTTTTGATGCTATCCCTCGTAAAAAGGCTTTTATTAGAAAAACTGTATGAGGAGTGAGGAAAAGGACATACAGAACCAAGAAATGCTTTACTTAAAACTGGCAATTAAAACGTGTTAGGAGATTCTCAAATAAATGATAACCCATGGTCCCTCTTATCATTAAGCTGTAAGTAGATTCTGTAAATTGTTCACGTTTATGAAGAATTATAGAACTTAAAGTGTCTTAAATAAAGCAAACTATACCAAGAGTATATCCATAACTTGAGAAACTCTGTTATGTAATTAATGGGTAAACTGAGCTTCAGCTAAGCCTTTCAAACGTTGGTTAACAGTGTGAGCCTCATAAATGAGTTGTGTCTGTCCACATTGTCTTATCTATTAACCTGGAAACTTAGAAGCTGCTTGGGCTGAATCCAGTCTGTCTCTCCGTATCACAGACAGCCATTCAGTACATACTTATTCAAAAAAGATCTGTGAAGTCTCTGCTCCCATGCAGCACGGTCCATAAAACACGTTCCAGCGTTTTGACACATGTAAAACATAGTAGTTGTATACTATTATATATACTATAGCAATCAAAACTATAAAGTGGCAAAATGAGGCAGAAGGCAGGAGAGGGGAAGGCGAATGAGTGCATTGCCTGTTGTCCTAGTGGCAAGAAAAAATTTTAAACAGTATAAAGAAATTAATCCCTCTCCAAGGAGAGGTGGAAAAAACAAACAAAACCTCCCCCCCGCCCAAGATGTGCCTTGCCAGTGCAAATTCGAAGGAAATTCTCACTGAGTAAATTTGGTGGTAGGTTTAGCTCTGAGAACATAGGCAGACCTATCAACCAGACACTGGAGAGATTTCAGTACGCACTAGCACATCTAAATGTGCATTCTGTCTCAAAGTATGGGATAGCTCTTGGGCTTCAGAAACTGGCAGCTGCCCAACACAGAAA